AAGCGTGTTACTGTAAGTGACACCAATATCTTGCGACGTCTCACAACATACACACAATCAATGTACCCATAAAGCCAGTTTTCAAAGTTTACTGGCCTCATTTGGTGCAAGTAAATGAATTTGTATGTATATAGTGCAATACAATGGTTGTCTTAGTTGCTGTCTGTCATCATTTAAATTTTCAAAAATATATTCGAAATTATCCACCTGATTCGGCCTATTGTTACTTATTTCATCGACCTTGGTATTAATTTCTCGTATAAATCTTCACACCAAAATGTCATACTTGTTCGTTGTTCAGCTATCGCAATAATAGATGCATTTTTTACATCGTCGGGTTGGATTGGTATTCCATGTGGTGTTTGGTTGACTTTTGTTTGTTTTTTCTTCGACTGATTATTATATGTATTTTCTCTTTGTACCTTGTACCTCTTTTGTAAAGGTTGTTTGAATAACAATACATTACTGTTTTGTCAAATATTTGCATATTGAAGTATTTATACAAGTCAAATATCTTAATAAGATAAGAAAACATTAGTATTAGGTAACTATATTTCTGCAAGTGATTAATGATAACTGACATATGTTTTTTTTATGTCCAGCGGAAAATATCGCAGGACGGAGTGCATGTCTTATAAGGTACCGTGTTTTGTTCTTGGCCCACAAGCTGTATTTCAATGTGCCTGTTCACAAGATATGATTTCCGCACAAAAATATGTGCGACCCTACTCGGAATTATTATTCCGACTCCTAACTAACCAAACTCTGCTCTTATTTCTCAATCCGTGAGTTTTGAGGCGGGAGTAACAGCAAATATTAGTTTTAAAGTTGTTTATTTGGTCATATCATGGGTCGGACTCATGACATCTTAGAAGAACACGATACCATAAGGCAAGTACCTGATTCCAATTTCCAATAAAATATTCTTGAAAAAAGAGATGGTGCCTGCAGTTCTAACATTAACTGATGATGTCGAGTATTTGCGGAGAAGGAGGATGGGCTTCCTTATTTCTTTATTTGTTTCTTGTTTTACAATTCATAAAAATATTTTATGAAATAAGATTTCACTCCATTCTGAATTTAATAGCCGATTAACCAAAAATGTTAATGTAATGCTGTTAAATTCGTGTTTACAAAAACAATCAAAGTACTGAAGTACTTAACATCGGATGACTGCAAGATCTTGTGGATGGTCATAAGCACTTGTCTCAGAAAAAAAAATTACATCTCTATACCTGAAAGTGAGGTTAATGTACCGATATATTTTTTTTTCTTAGAAAAGTTCGTGCGTGGATGATAAATAAATGACAGGGAATTCAACCTCACCGTAATTAATATGATATTGAAGTGATACAAATCAGTATACTCTGGTTTGTTGTTATATATTATATTAATATTTGTATATTACAGTTACATGTATATATAATTTTCATCCATGTGTATATCATTCTATTCTACTATATGAATAATAGTGCAGTGCAAGTGCATGGTGGACACTCTTCTGTAATTATTCGATTTTTCTAATAGATTGGATTTGAGTAGGCATTCATATTTTCCCGCAAAACTTTCAATCTCCCATGCAGAGTTATCGGTCCTTGAGAGAGAGAGAGGACCAATAACTCTGCATGGGAGATTGCAAACGTGAAAATGAATTTATAACAAGCGATAAGGAATGTTATTTTGCACTTGATAATGTCCTTGTATTTATCATGTTTATAGATCGGTTACAATCCCAACACGAAAGTTACGTAATGGAAATCTAGGCGACAGCAATACACCGGAATGCCCTCACGGTCTTCCGATGTAATAATGTTAACAATGATATACAATGTAATGAGTGTCGTTATACTTTATCAAAGCAAATGAAAGATATATTAGTCAGAGTAGCTATGATATTTATCAGTTAAATATGTCATGATTATCAGTAAAATGAACTAAAATAGGGTGTTTTCAAAATTCTGCAAAATCGGTGCATTTGACCTTTAAAGTAGTATCAGATTTGTACGGTTCCATATTTATTTAAAAAGAAAATAATTTAACCGTAATATATATGATACATATCTACAAAATATATCAGGAATAATTTACAAAACATATTGAACACCAATACAAAATACATTAACAAATGATTGTCCTATAGAAACACACTTGATTACAAGATGAGTCAAATATGAAGGGGAAAGAAAACACAAATGTCTAGAGACTATTTTTCTGATTTTTTTATTTCAGTTTTCATTGTTCTACCTTATAATTCATTATATACAATTGATCACACATTGCTCTCTGGACTGACTGTTTATCTGATAGGTAATTAGAACAGCCAGGTATTTAGTAGACATAAATCACGATAACTGTGATACGAACATGTAAATATTTACAGAAGAAAGTATAACAAACATGAACTTTATAGATCAACAGATAGATAGACCGACTTTTTGAAAACTAACCCAACTACAACAGTACGTGAACTTGTTGACGTCAAACTATCTATATTCATATTGTACAACTCGTGTGGTACACCAACATTTCAGTAAATGAAATATCCAATAGGTGAATACATGGTTTTAACCTATTACATGCATGATATCCATTTATCTGTTCGTTGCCACAAAATATCTTCCCTTTTTCTTTAATGCTACGACTTTTAACAGATTTAAAAAAAAACTACTGTGTCCTCCCTTTTTAAGTGCTGCTGTGAAATAAATCTTCGATTGGTGAAAGAATAACCAAAAAAAAAGATTTGTTTTTATATACATGCACACAAGCATCTCAACACCTATCATCTTTTTTCAGTGTTTTCATATTACCTGTAAGTTGTACAGTACTAACAAATGGAAAGCAAAGTGACGCTTGAGAGTGTGTCTAAAATGAATACATTCAAACGGCACCATGAAAACAGAGCTTTCGACTATGATGAAGACGGACTTCCTGTAGAAAAGGTTGGCTATATCAAAAACTCTTTTGTAATAGATGCAAAGACATAGTGATCTCCTAATTAATAAACGTCTTACTCAGAAGATATTTATTTTCTCTTACTACTTATTTGAATTTCTAGAGAAAAACAAAAAGCAAAATTGAGTCTTGAAAATAACTGTATCAAAATCTCTCATGCGAACCTTCCGTGTAATATAAAACAAACACAATAATTACCGGTATATGATATTATGACAGGAGATAACAAATCAATTGAGGTAAAGGTAATACGAATATCACTACCCACTAGAGGCGAGCTAAAATATCAAAACTAGATCAAAACACAACATCGGAAGAAAACACATATGTAATTACACTGCCCACAAAAGGCAAGCTCAATACATCAAAAACAAGATCAAAACACAACATTGCATGAGAACACATATGTAATAACATTACGCATGATAGACAAGCAGCTCAATATATCAAAACTAGATCAAAACACAATATCGCATGAGAACACATATGTAATAACATGACGCACAATAGGCAAGCTCAATACATCAAAACTAGATCCAAACACAACATCGCATGAGTACACATATGTAATAACACTGCCCACAAGAGGCAATATAAAAATAAGAAGATGTGGTATGATTGCCAATGAGACAACTCTCCACAAGAGACCAAATGACACAGAAATTAACAACTATAGGTCACCGTACGGCTTTCAACAATGAGCAAAACCTATACCGCATAGTCAGCTATAAAAGGCCCCGAAATGACAAATGTAAAACTATTCAAACGAGAAAACTAACGGCCTGATTTATGTACAAAATAATGAACGAAAAACAAATATGATATAGAGCAACAAACGACAACCACTGAATTACAGGCTCCTGACTTGGGACATGGACATACAGAATGTGGCGGGGTTAAACATGTTAGCGGGCGCCCAACCCTCCCCTAACCTGGGACAGTGGTGTAACAGTATAATATATTAACAAACTATAAAAATCAGTTGAAAAGGGCTTAACTCATCAGATAGATACAAAGCAAAAACAAATAACAAAAACACAGAGTGGACGCGGCAAGGCATTTATACATCCCCGCAACAAAAAGACACTAAGTACGGATCTGAGAGTACTCGCAGTTACTGACAGCTAGATCAAAGCCATAACAACTAATAAAAAAATCATGCATCTTATACTAAAATATCAATCAGTACACATCCAACATCCAATGGATTTAGTGTAAAGACGTCATAAACAGTCAGAAAAAAAAACACGACCTTGTGCAATGCCAAGATACAGGTATCGACAGATTGTAGAGACGTGAATATGCAAAAACACAAAACACAACATTGCATGAGAACAATTGTAACAATTGAAACAGCATTTGACAAAATTGATTGAATTTAACACATTTACATGTAATTTAGAATCTCCATGCAAACTTTTCTGCCAAATGTTTTAAGATATTGTATTATAAATATTTATAATGACCTTTAAACGATCCTGAAAACAGTAATTTTTTTTAGCGAATACTGCAAGAACCAATTATTTTTGCTACTTAAACTCATTTCTGATGAACTGGTACACATAACATATTCTTATGCTCGACTTTTAATGTCCCAAAGAAAATACTATGGTCCATAGCCTTTGATTACCAGGGCGACTACATGTCTGCATTGCTAAATATGAAAAAATAGAACCTATGTCTAATTAATAGAACACATATTCGTTGTGGATTATATCTGCACTCTAAACCTGCATCATTTTGACAATATTTAACACTTTAATACACTCTTCTTAAGAGTAATAATTTTAACACAACAACCCAACAGATTGTTTAGAGAAAAAATTCTTTCTCGGTCATAAACATGTCTATCTTTTAATTCATAACAGAAAAATGGAGCACCAATTCCTCCACCTGACTATGGTTCAATCGAGAGTTCTGGATTTAACAAAGTAATTGAAGTTACACAATCTGGGGTTTCTAATTTTTACAACAAGAATAGTCGTGTTATATGGATTATCATTGGAGTTATAGCGTTTGCATTGTATTGCTGGTACCTAGTGGAAGCAATGTTACATGAATTCGGCACGGAACCAGCCTATCGTCTTTTGATTGGAACCATTCTAGTGCTTATATTCATTGTGTCTTTAGCAATTATATCGAAGCTTCCCGCAAAGAGTTGTAACCCTCGTCTTCGCCACTGGAAAAGGATTTCTGCATGGTAAACATTTTGTAATGAGTTATAGGTTCGATATAATGGATCATGTAATATAAAACAGGGGCTCTTGAAGAAAAGCAATAGACACTTTAATTCAAAAGTATATGACAGCTAAGACTAATTATAAGGTCAACAATGACTGGAAAACCTTTATGTCATTATAAAAAACTTTAATGGATCCAATACCCCACAAGCTAGAAATGACCGTAGATCTGAACACCGCCGCAAAATTTAATAAATTAACCATCTTTAAAAGGGGATAGAGGCATTGTGACAATTATCCGAGTATAAATGAATTCCTTTATTTGCAGTATGCTTGGTGTTTGTAAATAATTTAAAACATTGAAAAGTTGCAAGGGATACTGTAAAAGTTTAAGAAAACTTCATTATATGATGTCAAAAAGTAATTTAAAATTGAAGTTTAACTCGAAGAGAACGTTGTTTATGAGGAAGTGGATGGTAAACTGTGTATGGGGTCAACCTAGGACATTTTATTTGGAAGTAGAGATGCGTGATTTCAATTTACACGACACGTTTTCATCATCTACACTCGAGACCAAACGTTTAGAAATCTAAAAATATAAATCATTTGAAAGCATAAATATCAAAACGACATAAACAGAATAACTAAAACTGTGTTAAGTCAATAACAACGAGGGTGTTACAACCTTAGTTTAAGTATGATTAGATAATTAGAGCTATTTTCCTAATGCTTGTAGTTTAAAGGTTTGGTTGGCTTGCTTGCTTTGATTATATAAATGTTTGATCAAGCATTGTAATTAAGGTTGACATCTGCAATCAATAGATAGGCAGGGCTTCAGCTTGTATACATTATACTTAAATGTTATTGGATGTTAAGTATAATGCAGAGTATAATGTATACAAGCTGAAGCCCCGCCTATCTATTGATTGTAGAAGTCAATCTTAATTACAATGCTTGAGCAAACATTTATACAAGCAAAGCAAGCAAGCCAACCAAACATTTAAACTACAAGCATTAGGAAAACAGCTCTAAGTAACAGACATTTAATCCCACAGGCTGCTGAAATTAAACGCATAACTAAAAGTTAGTCGTAAACATGTAAAAACAGCGAACTATGCACAATCGTCATAAAAACGAATCTTTGTTTAAAATATTCAGTTTCTTTAGATTTTCAACATGCACATATGTAACTGTTAACTCTAAAAGTAATTTAACACTGACAAGTAACATAGGATTACGATGTTTGTCATAGTTATAATTTTCTATTGAATCGATACATCAGTCTCTACTAACTTGATACATTTGTTGCATTATTTTAGGACTCACAGATCTGTTGCAGGAGGCCTCATTATTTTTGCAATTGCATACATAATAGCTGAAATCGGTTTCAAAACGCCAAGGAATCTGATTTCACTTGGTGGGATGGCAGTGTTAGTTCTTTTTACCTTCGTATGTTCACACAATCCTGCTCGGGTAGGTGTCATAGTTTTTCGTCAGATCTATTGAGAGAGAGAGAGAGAGAGAGAGAGAGAGAGAGAGAGAGAGAGAGAGAGAGAGAGAGAGATCCATTTTATCAACACTGAAACACAAGAATTATGGAAAGAGAGAAAGAGACAGAGAGAGATTATTTTCACATGTTAATACTTAGCAGTGAACAAGAATATATATATATAAAGGGGAGTAAATCTGACTCCATTTTATCATCACTGAAACACAAAGAGAGAGAGAGAGAGAGAGTTTTTTTTTACATGTTAATACTTAGCAGTGAACAAGAATATATATGTATATATATATCAGCAGGGTTTAAGAACATTTGTTGTTCGACCTGTTAGTCAAATGCGTTTTGTTAAAATACACCTTTTCACTTTTTTGGTCTTTTGGAAAATGTTGTTTGTGCTGTAGTTAGACCCCTCTAACAAGAAATTTGTTTTATCCAACGCAATCATAGGTTTGAACGTTGTTTTCAATTTAGACTTGTTAGAGTAAGCCTGACTTTCTCCATTTTATCATCACTGAAACACACGAAAGAGAGAGAGAGAGAGAGAGCAAAAGTTTTTTTTTAACGTTACATGATATTATGAATAGTTTACTGTTATTATAGGTGAAATGGCAACCAGTATTTTGGGGTATAATGTTACAGTTTATATTTGCCCTGATTATTTTGCGGTGGGAAATTGGATATGAAATCTTCCAGTGGTTAGGTGATAGAGTCTTGGAATTCCTACAGTATTCAGATGACGGAGCAATATTTGTCTTTGGAGAGCGATTCACAGACCATTTCTTTGCAATGAAAGTAAAAATCCTACTATTTTTTTTAATTAAATGAACGATTTTTTTTTTGTTATAAACTCTCACTTTTTACAGTTCATTAGTTTCCTTTTGACAGAAATGTATACATTTGGTAAAAGTTTTTCCATATTTGAGCACTATCTTCATTTCAATTATTCTTCAATATATAACTAGTAACAATAAATTCTTTCTACAATATATGAACATGATAAATGTGAAGAAAGCTTATTTCAAAATAGACTTATTTTATAGTCCAATGCTTCATTAAAATCTAAAAAGAGATAGTTTTATGAAAATAAGAAGATGTAGTATGATTGCCAATGAGACAACTCTCCACAAGTGACCAAATGACATATAAATTAACAACTATAGGTCACCGTACGGCCTTCAATAATGAACAAAACCCATACCACATAGACAGCTATAAAAGACCCCGAAATGAAAAATGTAAAACAATTCAAACGAGAAAACTAACGGCCTGATTTATGAACAAAATAATGAACGAAAAACAATACGATATACAGCAACAAACGACAACTACTGAATTAAAGTTCTCCTGACTTGGGACAGGCACATACAGAATGTGGCGGGTTTGAACTAGTTTAAATGAGCCAACCCTCCCCTAACCTGGGACAGTGGTGTAACTTAGCTTATCTGTTTTGAAATCATTCTTTTACAATGCTGTTAGCTAATGCGACACACTTTCGTTTTTGAGTAATTGTGCGCGAAGTTAGGAATACTACACTCCTAATGTTTAAGGGTTATATCAAGATATCGTATATATTTAACGTATTTTCAACGTTTACATTTTTTTCCCTACCTACAGATACGGACTACACATACATAAAAAATTATGATATAGCTCAATGAAACAAACCGCTCACGAGTGGCTCCCGCGGTCGGTAGATTGTTAGTTATTATTATTTAATAAAATGGACTAAAATAAATTGCCTGCGTAAATGAATTTTGTTCAATCTTTGATATCTATCCATTTATCGTTTCCTATAGGTATTACCAGTAATCGTATTCTTCAGTACGTCTGTGTCTGTCTTGTATTACCTTGGTGCCATGCAGTTTATCATTCGGAACATTGCAAAAGGATTAGCTACAGTTCTCGGAACGTCTCCTGCTGAATCTCTGAATGCAGCTGGAAATATATTTTTAGGACAGGTATGTCGTTGTATATACTATGTAACATAAAGATAAATTATAAATATTGTAAATAAAAACAAATTATTGAAACAACATGTACGTGTACGTGTAAATGTCACATTTACTGAACGCAATTTTTAAGTACTGAAATTTTGTCTTTCTCCAGGGAATCCACCTTTTAGAACTTTCTGATTAATTGATTTGTTTGTTCTCATGCCAATATAAATATGAGGAAACGAAGCGGTGGAATAAAGCAACTATAGGTCACCGTATTGTCTTCATCAATGAACAAAACAAAAACAAAATGTATAGTCGCTACAAGCGGCCCCGACATGACAAAGTTTAAAACAATTAAAACGAGATAATCAAAGGCCTAATTTATGATAAAACAATAAAAGAAAACCAAATATGACAGATGGGATGAAATCCATGGTTAACAGAAAGCGTCGACTGGAACAAACGTCACATTATACTAGCTCAGAGCCGTAAAGTCTGTGTGCCGCTAACTCTTATGATGCATGCTTAAAACATAACAAATTATAATTGCTATGCAGTTATGAACACTTTGGTCCTAACTCTTGTTGATACTTATATTTTGGAAACAAGATGTATTTATTACCGGTAGTTGCATTTGGTTTTGAACTATCTTCCAAAAACTGCGATCAATCATAGATCGGTACTTTATGTCTCATGTTTTTTGTCTTTCTTTATTTGATGTTAGTACTTCGTGCCTATCTAATGAGTCAAGCCCTTTCCAACAGATTTCTTCAGTTTGTTCAAATGTTGTGCTGTTATCCCACTGTCCTAGGTTCATTCGGGAGAGGGTTGAACCCTTGCAAACATGTTTAACCCCGTCGCATTTCTATATCTGCATATCCCAAGTCAGGAGCATGTACTTCAAGTAATCGTTGGTTGCCCACAAAATTTACGATTTCATTCAATCACAATCGCCGTTACAAACGAGTAATATGAAAATTATTAGCTCTTTGTTAACAATGTGGGAAATAGGTAATATTAAACTATCGTCGGTTTTGTTTTGAAATTCTAAACCAGGAGATGAAAGCTAATTTAATATGGTTTCTAGACAAGTAATCTCTACAATTTAAAACATGAGAGTAAGAAAAAAAAAGAAACTGGTAACATACTCGTGATTGGACTTTGGACTATGAAATAAGGTAACATATAGATTTTAAAAAGTGCCCTCAAGATGTCTTTTGTCTGCAGTTCCTGAACCACTAGTGACATCCGTGGCGTTAGTCTTGTAAATGAGTTATAACCTGAGATAAGACATAAAACAAATATATCTAGTCTTACACTAGATGACAAAATATAACACAGAAAAGACAGACAGCATTGAGGAAACATTGAGAAAGGAATCCTTCAAATGTAAAAGAGCAGTGCTTTCAGGAACAGTTTCTCATTGAACTTGATGTCTATGCCTAATAACCACTTTTCTTTTCGGGTTTTAAGTCTCACATAGTTCAAGTGTCCAATTGTGAGTTAAAAGACAAACACTTGTTGAAATTTATAACTTAATACTCTCTAAACATTATTGTTATGTATTTTAAAGATTACGTTTAATTCTTCAACAGACAGAGGCACCGTTAATGATCAGACCGTTCTTTGAGAAGCTAACAGTATCAGAGATCCATGCAGTATGTACAGGTGGATTTGCTACGATAGCTGGAAGTGTAATGGCGGCTTACATCATATATGGGGTATGGAATAAACAGGATAATAAATAATACTGGTGCAATCAAAAGCCAGACTAGCAGTGTGACTCAACTCGAGAAAATTTATCAAACAATTCCCCCAAACAAAGTTTTTCTTCTTCTCTCATGCGGAACTTGAGTTCTCAAAAACCATAGGTCGAATCACTTTTAAAACCTTAGGACATACAAGCCATATGTCCCCAGTTGTACATAAAGGTTAAAACGTGCGGATTGAAGTGCTCAAGGTATGGTTTGAAGAATTAAAATGGGTTAAGTCTACATTGGAAATGTACAGGAAAAAAATTAAAAGGTATGTTCAAAGTAATTATTTCTGCATCAATTGGGACCAAAATTGTCACTGGTTTATACTTGGTACTTTGACAACTTACCCCCATACAATAAATAGTTGTCATTGTACAAATGAACTTCAAAAGGATGTGATTTCAAACATATGTATCATGGAATTATATTGACCCACGCTTTTTTTATGGAAAAAATTGATATCAAGGATGTGATAATGAAAGCGTAATGGAACTTTGTTTTGAAGACATCGTAACAGCATCCTCATAACTTCTTGAACTAAACTTTTGCCAATAAAACGTACATATTGTATGCAAACTTTGAATAATAAAACTTACATTTAAGTCTGTACACCCATTGATTAGATGAATACTCTTAAACGAATCTATTTACTAGTAAGTTCAGTTATGTCTAATCTATACATCAGATGCCAGCAAACCATTGACTTTCTGCTTTCAGTTATATCTAATCTATACATCAGATGTCAGCAAACCATTGACTTTCTGCTTTCAGTAATGTCTAATCTATACATCAGATGCCAGCAAACCATTGACTTTCTGCTTTCAGTTATATCTAATCTATACATCAGATGCCAGCAAACCATCGACTTTTTGCTTTCAGTTATGTCTAATCTATACATCGGATGTCAGCAAACCATTGACTTTCTTCTTTCATTTATGTCTAATATATACATCAGATGCCAGCAAACCACTGACTGTATGCTTTCAGTTATGTCTAATCTATACATCAGATGTCAGCAAACCATTGACTTTCTTCTTTCATTTATGTCTTATATATACATCAGATGCCAGCAAACCACTGACTTTATGCTTTCAGTAATGTCTAATCTATACATCAGATGTCAGCAAACCATTGACTTTCTGCTTTCAGTTATGTCTAATCTATACATCAGATGCCAGCAAACCATTGACTTTCTGCTTTAATAGTGATGTCATATCTATACTTCAGAGGCCAGCAAACCATTTAATTTCAGCCTCAGTTATGTCACATCTATACATCAGATGCCAGCAAGCAACTGACTTTCTGCTTAAATAGTGATGTCATATCTATACTTCAGAGGCCGGCAAACCATTGACTTTTTGCTTTTAGTTATGTCTAATCTATACATCAGATGCCAGGAAACCATTGACTTTCTGCTTTTAATATGTCATATCTATACTTCAGAGGCCAGCAAACCATTGACTTTCTGCTTTAATTATGTCATATCTATACTTCAAAGGCCGGCAAACCATTTACTTTTAGCTTCAGTTATGTCTTATCTATATATCAGATGTCAGCAAACCATTGACTTTCTGCTTTCAGTAATGTCTAATCTATACATCAGATGCCAGCAAACCATTGACTTTCTGCTTTCAGTTATATCTAATCTATACATCAGATGCCAGCAAACCATCGACTTTTTGCTTTCATTTATGTCTAATATATACATCAGATGCCAGCAAACCACTGACTTTCAGCTTTCAGTTATGTCTAATCTATACACCAGATGCCAGCAAACCATTGACTTTCTGCTTTAATAGTGATGTCATATCTATACTTCAGAGGCCGGCAAACCATTTAATTTCAGCCTCAGTTATGTCATATCTATACATCAGATGCCAGCAAGCAACTGACTTTGTGCTTAAATAGTGATGTCATATCAATACTTCAGAGGCCGGCAAACCATTGACTTTCTGCTTTAAGTTATGTCTAATCTTTACATCAGATGCCAGCAAACCATTGACTTTCTGCTTTATTATGTCATATTTATACTTCAGAGGCCGGCAAACCATTTACTTTCAGCTTCAGTTATGTCTAATCTAAACATCAGATGCCAGCAAACCATTGACTTTCTGCTTTCAGTTATGTCTAATCTATACATCAGATGCCAGCAAACCATTGACTTTCTGTTTTTATTATGTCATATCTTTACTTCAAAGGCCGGCAAACCATTTACTTTTAACTTCCGTTATGTCTTATCTATATATCAGATGCCAGCAAACCATTGACTTTCTGCTTTAATAGTGATGTCATATCTATACTTCAGAGGCCGACAAACCATTTAATTTCAGCTTCAGTTATGTCTTATATATACATCAGATGCCAGGAAACCATTGATTTTTGCTTTCAGTTATGTCTAATCTATACATCAGATGTCAGCAAACCATTGACTTTCTGCTTTAAAAGTGATGTCATATTTATACTTCAGAGGCCGGCAAACCATATACTCTCAGCCTCAGTTATGTCTAATCTATACATCAGATGCCAGCAAGCCACTGACTTTCTGCTTTAATAGTGATGTCATATCTATACTTCAGAGGCCGACAAATCATTTAATTTCAGCTTCAGTTATGTCTAATATATACATCAGATGCCCACAAACCATTGATTTTCTGCTTTCAATTATGTCTTATCTATACATCAGATGCCAGCAAACCATTGACTTTCTGCTTTAATAGTGATGTCATAGCTATATTTCAGAGGCCGGCAAACCATTTACTTTCAGCTTCAGCTACTAGTATGTCATATCTATACATCAGATGCTAGCAAGCCACTGACTTTCTGCTTTAATAGTAATGTCTAATCTATACATCAGATGCCAGCAAACCATTGACTTTCTGCTTTTATTATGTCATATCTATACTTCAGAGGCCGGTAACCCATTTACTTTCAGCCTCAGTTATATCTAATCTATACATCAGATGCCAGCAAATCATTGACTTTCTGCTTTTATTATGTCATATCTATACTTCAGAGGCCGGCAAACTATTTACTTTCAGCTTCAGTTATGTCTAATCTATACATCAGATGCCAGCAAACCATTGACTTTCTGCTTTAATAGTGATGTCATATCTATACTTCAGAGGCTGACAAACCATTTAATTTCAGCTTCAGTTATGTCTTATATATACATCAGATGCCAGCAAACCATTGACTTTCTGCTTTTATTATGTCATATCTATATTTCAGAGGCCGGCAAACCATTTACTTTCAGCTTCAGTTATGTCTAATCTATACATCAGATGCCAGCAAACCATTGACTTTCTGTTTTTATTATGTCATATCTTTACTTCAAAGGCCGGCAAACCATTTACTTTTAACTTCCGTTATGTCTTATCTATATATCAGATGCCAGCAAACCATTGACTTTCTGCTTTAATAGTGATGTCATATCTATACTTCTGAGGCCGACAAACCATTTAATTTCAGCTTCAGTTATGTCTTATATATACATCAGATGCCAGGAAAACATTGATTTTTGCTTTCAGTTATGTCTAATCTATACATCAGATGTCAGCAAACCATTGACTTTCTGCATTAATAGTGATGTCATATTTATACTTCAGAGGCCGGCAAACCATTTACTCTCAGCCTCAGTTATGTCTAATCTATACATCAGATGCCAGCAAGCCACTGACTTTCTGCTTTAATAGTGATGTCATATCTATACTTCAGAGGCCGACAAATCATTTAATTTCAGCTTCAGTTATGTCTAATATATACATTAGATGCCCGCAAACCATTGATTTTCTGCTTTCAATTATGTCTTATCTATACATCAGATGCCAGCAAACCATTGACTTTCTGCTTTAATAGTGATGTCATAGCTATATTTCAGAGGCCGGCAAACCATTTACTTTCAGCTTCAGCTACTAGTATGTCATATCTATACATAAGATGCTAGCAAGCCACTGACTTTCTGCTTTAATAGTGATGTCTAATCTATACATCAGATGCCAGCAAACCATTGACTTTCTGCTTTTATTATGTCATATCTATACTTCAGAGGCCGGTAACCCATTTACTTTCAGCCTCAGTTATATCTAATCTATACATCAGATGCCAGCAAATCATTGACTTTCTGCTTTTATTATGTCATATCTATACTTCAGAGGCCGGCAAACTATTTACTTTCAGCTTCAGTTATGTCTAATCTATACATCAGATGCCAGCAAACCATTGACTTTCTGCTTTAATAGTGATGTCATATCTATACTTCAGAGGCTGACAAACCATTTAATTTCAGCTTCAGTTATGTCTTATATATACATCAGATGTCAGCAAACCGTTGACTTTCTGCTTTTATTATGTCATATCTATATTTCAGAGGCCGGCAAACCATTTACTTTCAGCTTCAGTTATGTCTAATCTATACATCAGATGCCAGCAAACCATTGACTTTCTGCTTTAATAGGAGCAACTGTGATCACCCCAGGTTTTTGGTGGGGTTCGTGTTGCTTAGTCTTTAGTTTTCTATGTTGTGTCATCTGTACTATTATTTATCTGTTTGTCTTTTTATTTTTGGCCATGGCGTTGTCAGTTTGTTTTCGATCTATGAGTTTGACTGTCCCTCTGGTATCTTTCGTCCCTCTTTTATGTCTAATCTATATTTCAGGTGCCCGCAAACCATTTACTGTCTGCATCAGTTATGTCTGCTCCTGCTGCTTTGGCAATGGCCAAATTATTTTGGCCTGAAACAGAAGAAACTCAGGCGACGAGTGAAGATGTGTACCAGATGGAAAAAGGGTATATCATCAAATCAGAGGCACCAGTAGTTTATCCATGTTCAGATCACATAAATCCATTAAGATAGTATTAAACTTTTTAATGTTTAATACTATCATCAAAGATAGTATTATTAATAAAAAAAAAGATAAGGAGATGTGGTATGATTGCCAATGAGACAACTACCTGTTTACACATTATTAATACAAATCTCTGCATGTACTTGACAAACACAAAGCAAAGGTGCAGCAAAAAAAAATAAGGAGATGTGGTATGATTGACAATGAGACAACTACCTGTTTACACATTATTAATACAAATCTCTGCATGTACTTGACAAACACAAAGCAAAGGTGCAGCAAAAAAAAAATAAGGAGATGTGGTATGATTGACAATGAGACAACTACCTGTTTACACATTATTAATACAAATCTCTGCATGTACTTGACAAACACAAAGCAAAGGTGCAGCAAAAAAAAATAAGGAGATGTGGTATGATTGACAATGAGACAACTACCTGTTTACACATTATTAATACAAATCTCTGCATGTACTTGACAAACACAAAGCAAAGGTGCAGCAAAAAAAAATAAGGAAATGTGGTATGATTGACAATGAGACAACTACCTGTTTACACATTATTAATACAAATCTCTGCATGTACTTGACAAACACAAAGCAAAGGTGCAGCAAAAAAAAATAAGGAGATGTGGTATGATTGACAATGAGACAACTACCTGTTTACACATTATTAATACAAATCTCTGCATGTACTTGACAAACACAAAGCAAAGGTGCAGCAAAAAAAAATAAGGAGATGTGGTATGATTGACAATGAGACAACTACCTGTTTACACATTATTAATACAAATCTCTGCATGTACTTGACAAACACAAAGCAAAGGTGCAGCAAAAAAAAATAAGGAGATGTGGTATGATTGCCAATGAGACAACTACCTGTTTACACATTATTAATACAAATCTCTGCATGTACTTGACAAACACAAAGCAAAGGTGCAGCAAAAAAAAATAAGGAGATGTGGTATGATTGCCAATGAGACAACTACCTGTTTACACATTATTAATACAAATCTCTGCATGTACTTGACAAACACAAAGCAAAGGTGCAGCAAAAAAAAATAAGGAGATGTGGTATGATTGACAATGAGACAACTACCTGTTTACACATTATTAATACAAATCTCTGCATGTACTTGACAAACACAAAGCAAAGGTGCAGCAAAAAAAAATAAGGAGATGTGGTATGATTGCCAATGAGACAACTACCTGTTTACACATTATTAATACAAATCTCTGCATGTACTTGACAAACACAAAGCAAAGGTGCAGCAAAAAAAAATAAGGAGATGTGGTATGATTGCCAAAGAGACAACTACCTGTTTACACATTATTAATACAAATCTCTGCATGTACTTGACAAACACAAAGCAAAGGTGCAGCAAAAAAAAATAAGGAGATGTGGTATGATTGACAATGAGACAACTACCTGTTTACACATTATTAATACAAATCTCTGCATGTACTTGACAAACACAAAGCAAAGGTGCTGCAAAAAAAAAAGGAGATGTGGTATGATTGCCAATGAGACAACTACCTGTTTACACATTCATAATACAAATCTCTGCATGTACTTGACAAACACAAAGCAAACGTACAGCAAAAAAAGATAAGGAGATGTGGTATGATTGCCAATGAGACAACTACCTGTTTACACATTATTAATACAAATCTCTGCATGTACTTGACAAACACAAAGAAAAGGTGCAGCAAAAAAAAATAAGGAGATGTGGTATGATTGCCAATGAGACAACTACCTGTTTACACATTATTAATACAAATCTCTGCATGTACTTGACAAACACAAAGCAAAGGTGCAGCAAAAAAAAATAAGGAGATGTGGTATGATTGACAATGAGACAACTACCTGTTTACACATTATTAATACAAATCTCTGCATGTACTTGACAAACACAAAGCAAAGGTGCAGCAAAAAAAAATAAGGAGATGTGGTATGATTGACAATGAGACAACTACCTGTTTACACATTATTAATACAAATCTCTGCATGTACTTGACAAACACAAAGCAAAGGTGCAGCAAAAAAAAATAAGGAGATGTGGTATGATTGCCAATGAGACAACTACCTGTTTACACATTATTAATACAAATCTCTGCATGTACTTGACAAACACAAAGCAAAGGTGCAGCAAAAAAAAATAAGGAGATGTGGTATGATTGCCAATGAGACAACTACCTGTTTACACATTATTAATACAAATCTCTGCATGTACTTGACAAACACAAAGCAAAGGTGCAGCAAAAAAAAATAAGGAGATGTGGTATGATTGACAATGAGACAACTACCTGTTTACACATTATTAATACAAATCTCTGCATGTACTTGACAAACACAAAGCAAAGGTGCAGCAAAAAAAAATAAGGAGATGTGGTATGATTGCCAATGAGACAACTACCTGTTTACACATTATTAATACAAATCTCTGCATGTACTTGACAAACACAAAGCAAAGGTGCAGCAAAAAAAAATAAGGAGATGTGGTATGATTGCCAAAGAGACAACTACCTGTTTACACATTATTAATACAAATCTCTGCATGTACTTGACAAACACAAAGCAAAGGTGCAGCAAAAAAAAATAAGGAGATGTGGTATGATTGACAATGAGACAACTACCTGTTTACACATTATTAATACAAATCTCTGCATGTACTTGACAAACACAAAGCAAAGGTGCTGCAAAAAAAAAAGGAGATGTGGTATGATTGCCAATGAGACAACTACCTGTTTACACATTCATAATACAAATCTCTGCATGTACTTGACAAACACAAAGCAAACGTACAGCAAAAAAAGATAAGGAGATGTGGTATGATTGCCAATGAGACAACTACCTGTTTACACATTATTAATACAAATCTCTGCATGTACTTGACAAACACAAAGAAAAGGTGCAGCAAAAAAAAATAAGGAGATGTGGTATGATTGCCAATGAGACAACTACCTGTTTACACATTATTAATACAAATCTCTGCATGTACTTGACAAACACAAAGCAAAGGTGCAGCAAAAAAAAATAAGGAGATGTGGTATGATTGACAATGAGACAACTACCTGTTTACACATTATTAATACAAATCTCTGCATGTACTTGACAAACACAAAGCAAAGGTGCAGCAAAAAAAAATAAGGAGATGTGGTATGATTGACAATGAGACAACTACCTGTTTACACATTATTAATACAAATCTCTGCATGTACTTGACAAACACAAAGCAAAGGTGCAGCAAAAAAAAATAAGGAGATGTGGTATGATTGACAATGAGACAACTACCTGTTTACACATTATTAATACAAATCTCTGCATGTACTTGACAAACACAAAGCAAAGGTGCTGCAAAAAAAAAAGGAGATGTGGTATGATTGCCAATGAGACAACTACCTGTTTACACATTCATAATACAAATCTCTGCATGTACTTGACAAACACAAAGCAAAGGTACAGCAAAAAAAGATAAGGAGATGTGGTATGATTGCCAATGAGACAACTACCTGTTTACACATTCATAATACAAATCTCTGCATGTACTTGACAAACACAAAGCAAACGTACAGCAAAAAAAGATAAGGAGATGTGGTATGATTGCCAATGAGACAACTACCTGTTTACACATTCATAATACAAATCTCTGCATGTACTTGACAAACACAAGGCAAAGGTGCAGCAAAAAAAAATAAGGAGATGTGGTATGATTGCCAATGAGACAACTACCTGTTTACACATTATTAATACAAATCTCTGCATTTACTTGACAAACACAAAGCAAAGGTGCAGCAAAAAAAATAAGGAGATGTGGTATGATTGCCAATGAGACAACTTCCTGTTTACACATTATTAATACAAATCTCTGCATGTACTTGACAAACACAAAGCAAAGGTACAGCAAAAAAAGATAAGGAGATGTGGTATGATTGCCAATGAGACAACTACCTGTTTACACATTCATAATACATATCTCTGCATGTACTTGACAAACACAAGGCAAAGGTGCAGCAAAAAAAAATAAGTAGATGTGGTATGATTGCCAATGAGACAACTACCTGTTTACACATTATTAATACAAATCTCTGCATGTACTTGACAAACACAAAGCAAAGGTGCAGCAAAAAAAAATAAGGAGATGTGGTATGATTGACAATGAGACAACTACCTGTTTACACATTCATAATACAAATCTCTGCATGTACTTGACAAAAACAAAGCAAAGGTACAGCAAAAAAAGATAAGGAGATGTGGTATGATTGACAATGAGACAACTACCTGTTTACACATTCATAATACAAATCTCTGCATGTACTTGACAAACACAAGGCAAAGGTGCAGCAAAAAAAAATAAGGAGATGTGGTATGATTGCCAATGAGACAACTACCTGTTTACACATTATTAATACAAATCTCTGCATTTACTTGACAAACACAAAGCAAAGGTGCAGCAAAAAAAATAAGGAGATGTGGTATGATTGCCAATGAGACAACTTCCTGTTTACACATTATTAATACAAATCTCTGCATGTACTTGACAAACACAAAGCAAAGGTACAGCAAAAAAAGATAAGGAGATGTGGTATGATTGCCAATGAGACAACTACCTGTTTACACATTCATAATACATATCTCTGCATGTACTTGACAAACACAAGGCAAAGGTGCAGCAAAAAAAAATAAGTAGATGTGGTATGATTGCCAATGAGACAACTACCTGTTTACACATTATTAATACAAATCTCTGCATGTACTTGACAAACACAAAGCAAAGGTGCAGCAAAAAAAAATAAGGAGATGTGGTATGATTGACAATGAGACAACTACCTGTTTACACATTCATAATACAAATCTCTGCATGTACTTGACAAAAACAAAGCAAAGGTACAGCAAAAAAAGATAAGGAGATGTGGTATGATTGACAATGAGACAACTACCTGTTTACACATTCATAATACAAATCTCTGCATGTACTTGACAAACACAAAGCAAAGGTGCAGCAAAAAAAATAAGGAGATGTGGTATGATTGCCAATGAGACAACTACCTGTTTACACATTATTAATACAAATCTCTGCATGTACTTGACAAACACAAAGCAAAGGTGCAGCAAAAAAAATAAGGAGATGTGGTATGATTGCCAATGAGACAACTACCTGTTTACACATTATTAATACAAATCTCTGCATGTACTTGACAAACACAAAGCAAAGGTGCAGCAAAAAAAAATAAGGAGATGTGGTATGATTGCCAATGAGACAACTACCTGTTTACACATTCATAATACAAATCTCTGCATGTACTTGACAAACACAAAGCAAAGGTACAGCAAAAAAGGATAAGGAGATGTGGTATGATTGACAATGAGACAACTACCTATTTACACATTCATAATACAAATCCCTGCATGTACTTGACAAACACAAAGCAAAGGTACAGCAAAAAAAGATAAGGAGATGTGGTATAATTGCCAAGAGACAACTACCTATTTACACATTCATAATACAAATCCCTGCATGTACTTGACAAACACAAAGCAAAGGTACAGCAAAAAAAGATAAGGAGATGTGGTATGATTGACAATGAGACAACTACCTGTTTACACATTCATAATACAAATCTCTGCATGTACTTGACAAACACAAAGCAAAGGTACAGCAAAAAAAGATAAGGAGATGTGGTATGATTGACAATGAGACAACTACCTGTTTACACATTCATAATACAAATCTCTGCATGTACCTGACAAACACAAAGCAAAGGTACAGCAAATGTATTGCTGTTCTTCATTTCACAGTCACAGTAAGACGTTCCCTGCTACTTTAATTCAAGACCACCCTAACACCATTTTGAGCAGAACCAGATAAATAAATTTGATCAAAGAAAAGACTTCTGAACAAATATATATAGTGTACATCTAAAGACACATCTAAAGATATAGAGATCAACCTTTTTTAAAAGTAATTTCTTGATTTTTCTTGTAAAATTGAAGGTTATCAATCAAAATTTAATACAATAATGGGTATAAAATTCGAACCAAGAGGCATGTAATGATTTTTTTGGTAACATGTATGTATGTGTGTGTTGATTCTTTGACCACAATATGTGGGTGGTTCAACGGCACGAGGGAATAAAATATTAATATTAGGGTTCTCGTTGTAGAACAGAAAGAAACGTCATCGAGGCTGCATCTCAAGGAGCATCAAATTCAATTAAACTAGTGGCTAATGTTGCTGTAAATCTTATAGCATTTGTTTCTCTTCTTGGATTTGTTAATGCCACATTGAAATGGTTCGGAGAAAGAGCTGGCATGAAGCCTCCCGGTCATGAGTATTTGACATTTCAGGTAGATTTAGATTGAATTTTGATATACATGTATAAAAATGGGTCGGCTTATTTGCTTATTTTAGACTTGCATAACGTTTAAATAACTTGTATTTTTTATGTGAGGTTTTCCATGTATATAAGCGAAACTTTTGTGACATTGAAGTTTATATATAGCGTATTTAATTCACCATTCTATTTTTTACTTCAACTTACTTCAATAATTTGATAACTGCTTGATTGACTTTGATACATGTCCCCGATGGTATCATCACCTCAGCAGTCGGTGTTTCGGTACTGATATGATTTAAAATAGACTTTTGCAATTAAATTCTCCGTTGATGGATTTAGAAGTTATAAGAAAAACCTAAGGTTCCAACTCCCTCAGCAGGGGAAAGATGACTTCAGATGAATTTTGTTTCACTTAGGCCCCTTTTGATCAAACAGCTCTTCACTTGTTTGTGAAGTTATACATTCTTGGCTTTCAACTTTTGGGTATGAACGTACTGGATGGAGGTATATCTAGAAAAAAGCATCAAATTTATAAAGTGTTATTGTCATGTTTTTAATTTTTCCCACTTAATTTTAAGTTTTCTTTCACATGTGATATCCACTGAAATATAGTTGTTTAACCAAATTATTTTAATTTTCTGTATTTTTCGTTCCTATATTCTTTACATAGGAGGCATATCTACATTTGTAATTGTTTCATTGCTTTATTTGTATTTTCAGTATATTAGTATTGAATGTATCAATTTTCCCCACTGTATATCTGATGGATCAGCTGATATTTTTCATTTGTATAAATGAATTTTGTATAATTTCATACACATGATAGTTTCATAAAATTTAATATTTTCAGTATATTTGTTCGTATGTGTTTTATCCTTTGGCATACCTAATGGGCGTGGAAACAGTCGACTGTGGAAGGGTAGCTGAGCTGATTGGTATCAAAACATTTATAAACGAGTTCGTGGCATACACAGCACTGTCGAAATATATAAACAATAGGAATAATCTAACATGGTATGAAGGAATGAATTTCACGGATTACAATGCCACTTGGCATTATGAGGATAGAGATATTGTGTATGATCACATGAATATTACCTTGGACAAGGGTATATTACAGGTATGTCATATGAATATTACTTTGGACACAAGTATATTACAGGTATGTCATAATAATATTACTTTGGACAAGGGTATATTATAGGTGTTTCACATGAAGGACAAAAGAATTAAAAATAATACTGAACTCCAAAGTATAGAATTAAAAAAGAAGGAAGTCCATAAAACCTGACAAAATTAACTATATAGAATATTCCTTTTTGACAAAGGTATATTACAGTTATGTCGCATGAAAATTACTTTGGACAAGGATATATCACATTTATGTCGCATGAATTTTACTTTGGAAAAGGGAATTTTACAGGCATGTCACATGCATATTGCTTTTTGACAAAGGTATATTACAGTTATGTCGCATGAAAATTACTTTGGACAAGGATATATTACAGTTATGTCGCATGAATATTACTTTGGTAAAGGGAATTTTACAGACATGTCACATGAATATTGCTTTTTGACAAAGGTATATTACAGTTATGTCGCATGAAAATTACTTTGGACAAGGATATATTACAGTTATGTCGCATGAATATTACTTTGGTAAAGGGAATTTTACAGGCATGTCACATGAATATTGCTTTTGACAAGGATATATTACAGTTATGTCACATGAATATTACTTTGGTAAAGGGAATTTTACAGGCATGTCACATAAATATTGCTTTTTGACAAAGGTATATTACAGTTATGTCGCATGAAAATTACTTTGGACAAGGATATATTACAGTTATGTCACATGAATATTACTTTGGTAAAGGGAATTTTACAGGCATGTCACATAAATATTGCTTTTTGACAAAGGTATATTACAGTTATGTCGCATGAATATTACTTTGGTAAAGGGAATTTTACAGGCATGTCACATGGATATTGCTTTTTGACAAAGGTATATTACAGTTATGTCGCATGAAAATTATTTTGAACAAGGATATATTACAGTTATGTCGCATGAATTTTACTTTGGAAAAGGGAATTTTACAGGCATGTCACATGCTTATTGCTTTTTGACAAAGGTATATTACAGTTATGTCGCATGAAAATTACTTTGGACAAGGATATATTACAGTTATGTCGCATGAATATTACTTTGGTAAAGGGAATTTTACAGGCATGTCACATGAATATTGCTTTTTGACAAAGGTATATTACAGTTATGTCGCATGAAAATTACTTTGGACAAGGATATATTACAGTTATGTCGCATGAATATTACTTTGGTAAAGGGAATTTTACAGGCATGTCACATGAATATTGCTTTTTGACAAAGGTATATTACAGTTATGTCGCATGAAAATTACTTTGGACAAGGATATATTACAGTTATGTCACATGAATATTACTTTGGTAAAGGGAATTTTACAGGCATGTCACATAAATATTGCTTTTTGACAAAGGTATATTACAGTTATGTCGCATGAAAATTACTTTGGACAAGGATATATTACAGTTATGTCACATGAATATTACTTTGGAAAAGGGAATTTTACAGGCATGTCACATGAATATTACTTTTGACAAAGGTATATTACAGTTTGTCGCATGAATATTAGTTTAGACAAGGATATAGTATAGTAATGTCACATGAATATTACTTAAGAAAAGGGAATTTTACAGGCATGTCACATGAATATTACTTTTGACAAAGGTATATTACAGTTATGTCACATGAATATTTCTTTGAACAAGGGTATATTACAGGTAAGTCACATGAATATTACTTTGGAAAAGGAAATTTTACAGGCATGTCACATGAATATTAATTTTGACAAAAGTAAATTACAGGCATGTCACATGAATATCACTTTGGACAAAAGTAAATTACAGGCATGTCACATAAATATTACTTTGAACAAGAGTATATTACAGGTGTGCCAAATGAATATACCTTAGATAAGGGTATATTACAGGTGTGTCACATAGATATCAAAGTTTTTGAGCTGCAGTCCTCTTGTGCCGATGGCTAGTTTTCAGATCTATCATTTGCGTCAAATTGTATTTTTCAATAGCGTCAACATGCTGAAAGCATTTACACCAATTGACTCGCATGCATATTTATCAAATACAAACATCGGACCTCAGATAATTATAAATGAGACTCTTGTTGCACAAAGAAGGATGTAAAATAAGACGATTTTGTATCGCCCTTGCAATTTTAGAGGTAAAAAGAATGTGTCATGAATTAAAAAGACTTCAACTTTTGGCTTAATACAAAAATAAGATTTGGTATAATTGCCAACGAGATAACTATCCACCAGAGACCAAATGGCGTGGATGTAAGCAACTATACATAAACAAAGAGATGTGGTTTAATTACCAATGAGAAAACTATCCACAAACATATAAGCAACTGTAGGTCGTCGTACGCTCTTCTACAATGAGCAAAGTCCATACCATAAAGTAAGTTATAAAATGCAAAACAATTCAAACGACTTGATTAACGTAAAAAACAAATATAACCTCTTGGACCTTTCACACATCTTCAGTGGCTGTTACTTATTTTTCTCATTTATGTCATTGGTGAGTCATTTGTAGACAAAACGCGCGCATGCGATACAAACTTTTAAGACTGGTATCTTTAATGACTTTTTTAAAACGTTTTTTTTAATGGTTAGTATATATAATTCCAGTCTTGAATTCTGACGTTATGCAGTCATTCGCAACTCAAACAAAGAAAAATAAAAATATGTGCCTTACATAAATGTAAATGACGGAAAGATTAAGCAACTTTGTACCGTATGTAGTGTTCATTGTATCAATAAAATAATCAAACCCAGTAAAACAATATGCACATCTTTTTTGGGGTTTTTCTAAAAGATGTATGCGACTGTCATACAAGTGAGAGGTTTAGCCAGCTATAAAACCAGGTTTAATCCACCATTTTCTACACAAGGAAATGCCTATACCAAGTCAGGAATATGACAGTTGTTTTCTATTCATTTGATGTGGTTAAGCTTTTGAATTTGCCATTTGATAAGGGATTTTCCGTTTTGAATTTTCCTTCGGTATTTTTGTTATTTTACTTTTTGCCATACAAATACATGTATGTTTATCATAATTAATTAAACTTGTTGATAAGATTCCTTTTTACAAAGCGTGGATAAAAGGTGTATTACCATTTACATTGGAATTTAATGTTTTGACCAAGCGTGTTAGCAGGTTATAAATAATGGTATTCACCAATTTATCTTACCTCCTATACATTTCTAGGAATATGATTGGTTGAATAGCAACCGCGTGGCGATCTTGTATATTTGATATGGTTTTAGTAGGCGGGGCTTATTTCAAAACACGGTTAGTAGTGGTGTTACGTCCCTTTATAAAAACAACACGGTGTTGAGGAAAAATCTGAAAAGGTTTCAACAGACGAAGAAATTGATGATGAACGATTGAAATAAATTCATAAAACACATTTAAAGCTCACAAGTTGTTATTGTTGGCATTTGTTTTTGTATAGACCAATGGAAGTAGGTTCTTAATACTAAGTATTGAAGACTTAATCACTTTGATAGGCCACTAGTCTAAATACCACATGTTGAGATAGTCGCTAAGATAAATTCGTTACACAGTGTGCTAGTGACCTTATACGATATATATGGGGTCAGTAAATTCCATATGGGGATTCGAGCTTCGCACATACCCCATATGTAATTTACTGACCCCATATATAACGTATTAGGTCACTACAACACTATGTAACTAATAGTTTACGTATATAGTGATCTTCGATGTTGAAAGTCGAAATAAAAACATTTTCATATGTATGCACTTTTTCAATTCATCTTGCGTAATACGTTAATATTTTTGGAAAATCTGGAAAGGTTTGACGAAATGCAAGAATTTGGAAAACAGAAGTTAAGGCGATAAAGTCTCAGGACTTTTCATTTAAATGTATTGGAAGAAATTAATGTTAAATTTTAAATAATAAACTATGATATACATTGGTGTATACTATAATAAACAGAATTTCAAAAATTGTGTAAGAAGTATTTGTGAGGTAATACATAAAAAGGGTAACAGGAAAAACAAACAATTCTGGACAGTTCAACAGACAACACCAAACACAACACCCAAATCTTCCGACCTGTCTTCCATGTAGTTTAGAAGGATAATAGAGAAACCGAAGAAGGCTAGTGACCGGGACGTCTAAAACGAAATTTCTACAATAAAATAAGAATAAACAAAACAGATGTTCAAAGATTCGTTTAAAGCAAAGATAACCTGGTTTGTTCTATTAAAATTGCATGAAAAAATAATTTGCATTTTTTAAAAATGTTAATAAGAAAAGGTCTAGTTGGGCAAAATTTTCAAGCATTGCTTAAGAAAAAGTCAGTACGGTTCAAATTATTAACAAAAAAATTTAAGTGCGAGATGTGAACATCCTTCATAATGCTAACGTATAAACTGTTTTGTAGGATAGATCTGTCGTCATTTCAACGTATGCTTTGTGTGGATTTTCAAATATATCATCTATTGGAATACAGCTTGGTGCGTTAGGTGCAATGGCTCCTTCAAGAAGAAGTGATCTGTCACAAGTCATTATAAGAGCAATGATAGCTGGAAACATTGCTTGCTTTATGACGGCTTGTATATCAGGTAAGCTTGTAATAATAAGAGCAATGATCGCAGGAAAAATGGCTTGCGTTATGGTAGTTTTCATAAGAGCAATAATTTCTAGAAACATCGCTTGCCTTATGACAGCTTGTATATCAATAACGTAGTCTTTATAGGAGCAATGGTGACTGGATACATTGCTTGCATTGGAAGGCTTGTATATCAGGTAAGCTATGAATAATAAGAGTAATGATAGTGGAAAACATAGTTTGATTTATGACGGCGTGTATATCAAGTAAGCTATAAATATTATAAAAGCAATGATTTCTGGAAACATTGCTTGCTTTATGACAGCTTGTATATTAAGTGAGTAGTCTTCATAGGAGCAATAATAGCTGGAAACATCGCTTGCTTTATGACAACCTGGATATTCGGTATACTAGTCATTAATAGTGCAATGGTCGCTGGAGACATCGCTTGATTTAGGAAGGCTTGTATATTAGGTAAGCTAGTAATAATGAGAGTAACGATCGCTGGAAACATGGTTTTAAGACGACGTGTATATCAGGAAATGTAGACATTATAACAGCAATAATTTCTGGAAACATCGTTTGCCTTCCTTATGACAGCTTGTATGTTAAGTAAGTAGTCTTTATAGGGGCAATAATAGCTGGAAGCATGGCTAGATTTATGATGGCTTGTTTATTTGGTAAGCTAGTTATTTAAAGAGCAATAATAGCTGGAAACTTTGCTTGCTTTATGACGACCTTGACATTCGGTATGCTAGTCATTAATAGTGCAATGATTGCTGAAAACATCGCTTGCTTTGTGGCGGCTTGTATAACTATTATGTTAACTAGTCACTATAAGAGTAATGATTGCTGGAGACATCGCTTGCTTTATGGTGGCTTGTATAACTTTTGTGTAAGCTAGTCATTATAAGAGCAATGATAGCTGGAAACATCGCTTGCTTAAGGAAGGCTTGAATATCAGGTAAGTAGTCATTAAAGAAGCAATAATCGCTGGAAACATCACTTGCTAATGACGACTTAAATATCAGAAAAGCTAGTCATTATAGGAGAAAAAGATTACTGGAAACATTGCTTGCATTATGTCGGCTTGGTTTTCAGAAAAGCTCGTCATTATAGGAGCAATGATCGATGAAAACAGTGTATGCTTGTATATCAGATAAGCTACTGAAACTAATTGAATGTGTATCGTTAAATGGACATTCCTTTATTTGGGATTTTCTGTATTTTTACAAGTAAGAATTTTTTTAACATTTTGAGTCTCCTTGACTTCATTGTCTTATTAATTAATAAACTCACCATACTTATAAATACATATTTTATTGTTACTCTTCCTATAAGATCAATAAAGGTATACCAGAACACAATATTCGAAATACTTTAATGCATTATTACTAGAGATTGCAGAAATTTAAGACGCTTTTTTGTACTGTTTATCTCTAAATATACATAGATCAATGAAAAATTGTCATTGCAATTTACATAGCCAAACATGTTTATGCTAACTGTTGTCGTCTCCTTGTTTTCCTTTGAAAGAGTTATTATAATTGAATTTTCATTTAAAAAAAAAAACAGATGCAAAATGTTTGTTCAAACAAATTATTACTATTCTTTAAACTTTTTTTTTATTGCAGGTCTGTTATATGAAGGAGAATTGTAGACAATGATCTATAAAGCATAATAGATAGCTGTGTCGGTTATGACTACGCATGACAAATATTTAATGAGTTGAATCCCTGGTCATTCCCTTTAACGAACATCACTTTTTGTTTTATATGAGAACTGTGTAATGTTGAGTATATATTGATAATCATATCACATTTCATTCTGTACATACATACGGCCAGATGATATTTGTGTTCTTCATATGAATAGGCTGTACATTTGATTTTAAGGATGTTGTGACGACGCAGTTTGTCCCTAATAGCAAGAAAATATGAGAATGTGTTGTCTCCACATTGGTATTTTGTTACTTGATCTCATGTCATAGTTTTACTATGAAGACAAATTATGAAGTCCAAGGAGGTAAATAAATAATGACACAATTTTACCTTAAATATTTTCTACTCTTTATTCAGTTTGAATTATATGTGTCAACCCCAAAGGATAAAGTCAATTTCATTTGTATTCCCAAAGCCTGATAACAACAACAATATTAATAAATAATTACAATTGTTCAATGCGAGTCAGGTATTGAGTCAAGTGCATGCGGTCCTTGTGAAGATTTTTTTAACGGGTTTTTTTTATGGATAAAGGGATATTTTTACCGATTTTAGGGGTGAGCCGGATGCTCTCCCTCTGCAGTATATACCTTCACATTGCTACGATATAAATATTTATCGAGCATGTTTTTAATTTCGTATTTGATTTTTTTATCGATACGTTTTTCAAGTATTCAAGAATTAATTTTCAAAATAATTGCTATGTGTTGAAAAATAATTATTGGCTACGTCTTGAGGGAAGACTTGTATTATTTTTTAATTTCTGTTTAACTGGAAATAGGTTTTTTTGTTTATATATGGAAATATTCTCAAAAAAAAAAAAAAATCGTTTTAAACGTTTCATACATATAACTAAACGTCATGTTTATTGCAACTGCAAATAACGCAGGTATATCAAGTTCACTTTTGCGCAAAAAGTTTTTTTTAAACTCATGAGGTCATTATTTGTGGTGTTTTCAGTAGAAATATTTTGCTATTTCGATACCTTTGAAAGTCGCAAGTTATGCGATGCAACGGATACGAAAAATGTATAGAAAATACATTGTAAGTATGATGCTTATAGATGTGCGCCTAAGAGAAGCTGTGCAGCAGTTCCATAAATGCATGGTGACGATATCTTGACTGACAAATCAACAACTGCGAAAATTTAAACAAACCGCCAGATGACGTCTTACGAAAATCTGAATTCTGTAGTAAATGTTCTTGTAGAAAGACAACCTCGAATATAACAAGCTCATGAATTGATATGGTTGGTTCGTCGAAGCACAGGTATTTGGGGCATGGACCCCCCTTTTTTGGCCCCAATGTAAAAAAAAAATCTATTTATTTTCCATATTTACAATTTTCTACAATGTGTAAACATATACCAAATCTCAAAAATCCATAAATAGTCGATTACAATACCCTTCCTACTATCCACACAAAACCCAAGTGAAAAAGCCTTTTTTGAGACTTGGTGTATTGTAAATATGGAAAAACAAATAGATTTATTTTTTTTCACATTGGGCCCGAAAAGGGGGGTCCATGCTCCAAATACTTGTGCGTCGAAGGTGTGAAGCTGTACTTGCGTCAAGAGAAGGTCAAACCGATATGCGATAGATCCCACACAATGACATTGCGTATTGAATTTTTAACTGTACTGTCGTTTTGTACATCTTTTGATTTTACACATTTTATTATTTGTTTTTACCATATTGTTGTAAATCATTTTTGTTATAGCTAGCAAAATATAATAATTATTTGTTATGTTGCAAAACTATTGATTTCTCAAGTCGTGTATCGTTTCTTTTGTTGACTAGTATATGGTACCTACGTCCACTATATTATAATATCCTTGAAAATAAAATTTAAATATTACAATTTGTGTACTTTTTCCTGGTTTTTTTTTTTGAAAGTATGATATAACAAGAAAGGGTCAGAAGTATGTTTGCCTTATATTCAATGGCATTATGTCATCAAAGACTTGTTTTTTTCTGGATACCAAACTGACGACGAGGCTAGGTTTGACGTGACCGTTTTGTGTATATTTAGATATATTTAGCTATGTTGAAAGACGTGCATAATGGCAAATTATAAAAAATAAAAAAATGTTTAGTCTATAAGAAAACTTGTAAGATATCCGCTGCTTATTTGTTAAAATGGATGCAATTTGGGTACTGTGACGTTAAGTATTCTGTATGGCCAGTGTCGCATTCAACATAGACGACAAAGAAAGATAAATTGAAAAACCAAAAACATTAATATACACAAACGAGACCAATCCAAAGCAGTGAACCAGGTGTGTGGACAAAGAAAAGACAACGAACCAGGTGTACGGACAAAGTACAGAAATGAACCAGGTGTACGGACAAAGGACAGAAACGAACTAGGTGTAAGAACAAAGGACAGAAACGAACTAGGTGTAAGAACAAAGGACAGAAACGAACTAGGTGTAAGAACAAAGGACAGAAAACGAACTAGGTGTACGGACAAAGAACAGAAACGAACTAGGTGTACGGACAAAGAACAGAAAACGAACTAGGTGTAAGAACAAAGGACAGAAAACGAACCAGGTGTACGGACAAAGGACAGAAACGAACTAGGTGTACGGACAAAGGACAGAAAACGAACTAGGTGTACGGAAAAGGACAGAAACGAACTAGGTGTAAGAACAAAGGACAGAAAACGAACTAGGTGTACGGACAAAGAACAGAAACGAACTAGGTGTACGGACAAAGGACAGAAAACGAACTAGGTGTAAGAACAAAGGACAGAAAACGAACTAGGTGTACGGACAAAGGACAGAAAACGAACTAGGTGTACGGACAAAGGACAGAAAACGAACTAGGTGTACGGACAAAGGACAGAAACGAACTAGGTGTAAGAACAAAGGACAGAAACGAACTAGGTGTAAGAACAAAGGACAGAAAACGAACTAGGTGTACTGACAAAGGACAGAAACGAACTAGGTGTACGAACAAAGGGAAAACTACGACCTAGGTGTACAGACAAAGGAAAACCGAACGAGGTGAACAGACAAAGGAAAAAAACAACAAACCAGATGAACGGTCAAACAAAGGAAAATATACACAAACAAGTATGTACGCACACCTACCAAAACCGGAGTGGAGTAAAGATAGGCATATCCTTCTTCGCATAAGATATTCGTCAAATAAAATGAGCAATGGTTTAAATCAGTCAGTTGTGTTACAATTTGCCTAATTCGTGATTGCATAAATACAACTTGTTGTTTTATTAAAAATGTATGCTGAATATACCTCTGACAGTCGTTTTATCGATGCGCTCTCTAAATGAATTCTATGAACTGGTACAAGCTCTTTGGTATATAAACAGTGTTTGAAGATAATGTAATATAATATTACTTAGACACATATGTAGTTTGTGCAGTTCACATTTATTCCTACTTAGAAAAGGTAAATTATATCTGGAAACTTTTTTCGTCAAGTTTATTCCATTGTTAATTTTGTATCGAATGTCCTTTGGCGTCTATTGATTGATGAAGACTGCCAAACTAATTTGTGTTTTATGCCTATTTTCCAAAACCATACGAAACAGTAACCTCGGAAGTAAAACCCATGCTTCGTTTTGGTTGTGCGGGATGTATAATTACGCAGCAATCGTTCGGCCGGAATGACTGTCGCACTCCATGCTCGTGAAAGAACCATTGCAACAACTATCTCAGTGGTCTTTTTCGAGAGAAAATGTGTGCCCCTATCCATCACATCCTCCTTTTATAGCCATTCTAAATTTGATACTTTTTATCGCTGTCGACCTACCTTGTAAAACCAACCTTTATGAAATATTTGTCACTGTACCTTAAGCAAACAACGATCAAGCGTTCAATCAAATACGTAATGAACAACAATCGCACATGTAATCAAACCACATACAAATTTCATAACGCACTGTGTATTTAGCAGCAAATAAAAAAAGACAGAAAAAAACGGCAGAAATGTAGCATAGCAATTATAATACATGCATTAAGTTGAATTTTAAAATACAGGTGGGAAGAAATCAAATTGATAGTAAAAAAAACAAATACAGGCAGGAAAATCATTAAATAATAGTCAATCGTAAGCATATCAAAACAGTAATTTGAAATCAGTAAACTGAGGGCTAAAAATTTATTTGCCTACACGATAAGCAGCAATATACCAAACAATTCCAGGATTTTTCAAGATTTTAAAAATATGAAAATCTAATTCGTCTACAGCAGTAATTAAAAAAAATAATTTTGGGCATATTCCACACTGTTTAGCAGCAGTGCGTTATATAAATTAGTCATGAAGAATCACTACAAGGTATACTATTAAATGAATATTATACGAATACGAAAGCTTTCTTTAGATTCGGTATTGTTACAAACTACAAAACATTATCTCCATAGAGCTTTTGACCGAATACATAATAACATATAACATACAACAATATAAATAGCATAATCATGCAAGCAAACTAAAAATAGAGAAGCACTCATAAAAGTATGCACAGCACAAGCATGGCAGAGCAAATAATACAGTCATGCTATCATAACTATAAAAGAGCAAAGTAATGTAAAATAAGCTCCGTGAAATAAAATGAAAGCTTATCTACATGCAGAACAGCGACATTCCAAGCCTTTCCAGAACTATTCAAGACGCTTGAACTGAGAAAAACTGTTCTCCGTTCTGAAATGGTCCGGAAGACTGTTCCACAATGTAGCAGCAGCAAATTTTAAACTTTTCTTACCGTAAGTAGTAGTTTTAACAGGTGGGATATCAAGTATATTGTTATATCTGAAAGATTATTTCGATCGTTTTACCTTTAATATAAGACTTGTACAAACATATATACGTGTGAGAAGTTATTAACCATTTTAAAAGTTTCAATTGCCATTGTTCTCACTCTTTTGACTTCCAGAGACGGCATCTTCGCTTTTTTCTAGTAAATTCTCATATGAACTATAGAAGTCCTCATATATACCAAAAAATCTCAAGCAGTCTAGATAGTGACATCCATGCCCATGACGGAAGGCACAAAGATATGGATTTAAAATAAGATCACAGTAATCACCAATGGAGTTGTCTATTATGAAAATCTGTTTGAAATTATATAAAGTATGCCGTTTGCAGTAACATGAACAAAATACGAGTGTACAGTTAAACAGCACACACGTATGTGTAATTATTGTTTTTTGTTTTTTTTTTTTTCAAAATAAAAGCCACTGTCACCTCCATGTTCATATTTTAGTGTGTGTATATTTTCAAGCGAAACCAGTTATTGTAAATATGACATTTAGTACTGTATGTGATATATGTATAGTCTGGTTTCACGTAAACTTCTACTTCTACCGCTGAGTAGCCACCGTCAACAGGTTGGCTATTCTGTCACTTTTGGGTGTGCGCATGAATAATATTGAAAACACAGAAAACAAAATAAAGGTGATATATATATTTAACAGTGATGGTTAAAAACAAGTGACTATATATTTATGTTTTAGTCAGGAGCCTCTTGAAGGATTCAAGAGTGTCTGATTTATTTAACATGGGCGTAGCTGCCGTTAGGCACTTTAGGCACGTGCCTACACATAGTTTTTTCACAAATATTTTTTTTATAAAAAAAAATGACAACAACATTATCTGTAGATGCATGTGAAGTCGTCAAAACTCTTTAATTATAAATGTCATTTGTACACCAGTCTATCATCCTTAGTGAATAGAGTATTGGATAGAATTGTATGTACAATATATCCCACCTTATATAGAAATTAAAAACTAGATCTTTGGTTCAGATCATTTCACTTCTATCAACA